CCGGATGAAACGAAGGAATCCGGATTTATTGTATCTAATCCGGATTTAAAATATAAATCCGGTTCTAACCTCTAATCACAGCATGATTCCTTAAAGATTACATAAGATTTTATATTTGGAAAACGATGTACAACAAAATGACTTTTTATTAGAATTTCGGTTTACAAATAGAATATATACAAAAAATTAAAGTGCCGCAAATATGTTAAATAACTGATGAACCGATATTTTAATTTGAAAAAAAAAAGGATGGAATTCGGTTTGTTGATAAATCGATATGTACAAAGTGACGTTTATTCTATGTCATTCCGTTTAAATAGCTAATATAATATATTTAATATGATAACCGAATATTCAAAATAATTTGACAAGTAGAAAAGAAATGGAATTTCACTGTTTGAAATTCACAGATTAAGAAAGATAAAAAGGAAAAAGAAATTAAAATACTCCAAAAGGAGATTGAAATTCAAAACCTGGTAATGAATGAATTTCAGATTATTATATACCCGAAGCGAGAGTTTCTTCAAGTTTAGGAAAAGATAATAATCTGCTATGATAATTTGCTTCAGGATGAATTTTTGTTTGTTCGGTGGGATGTGTTTGATGAATGCATTTACATTGTTCTATTTCTTTCGATATTCGATGTGATATTTTACACTCATCTTCATAAATAAAGCAGCATCTAATCATACTAAAAATTTCAATGGCAGTAATTCTTTTCTTTGGGTCCGGTTCCCAACATCTTTTCAATAAATTAACAACGGATTTTGGAGTTTCCTCGGGAATGGTGGGATGAACGCCATTGCAAATATCTAAAGCAAGTTGAAAATCATGTGATCTGTCATGAAAAGGTGGGTTTCCGGTTATAATCTCATAAATTATTCCGCCAAAGGCATAAATGTCGGAAGCTTTGCTATATGATTTTTCCCTTAAAACTTCCGGCGCGACGGAAGGTAACACGCCGTAAATTTCCTCTTGTGGCAAGCAAGCCGTCTTACTCACAGGTTGACATATACCCAAATCACTTATGATTATAAGGTCATCGATATGATTAGCATACAATATGTTTCCAATGTGAAAATTTTTATGAATGATCTTTTTTTCGTGAAGTTTGTAGAGATGATGTCCAATTTGCTTTAGGATTTCGATCTTTTGATACCAGTCAATAGAATTTGAATTGCAATTCAAATAATGTCTCAAATTTCCGTTTTCTGCAAATTCAAGAACCATTGCATAATCCTTCGATTTTGGTTCTTGGGTGAAACCTAAACATTTTACGACGTATGTAGATCCACGTTGTAAATTCAAATGTAACTAAAATTTTAATTTTATTTATCAGTAAGTTGTCAATAGTTAACATTACAAAAAGAACATGGTTTGATAAATTATTTAATGATTTCTTACCTCTTCCAAGAATTCGGATGAAATGTTTTGCGAATCTTTAAGAACTTTTAAGGCAACTTTGGTCTTGGAAAGTCTATTCCATTGTTTCTGTTCAAGGTTCCATCCTTGAATTGGACCATCCATCCATGTAGCGGAGTAAACTATGGAGAAACCCCCTTGCTCCAAGTATTTAATATCGGTAAATCTATCATAAGGTATCCACTCTATCAGGTTGCTAGGTGTTTTAGCCTTAATTTGTTGGAACCTTATAAAATCATCGATTTCATTATTACCGCTCTTCCAAAGTATGAATTCCCTTTGGAGTTGAATCGGAGAACAGGTTTCACACCAAATGTGATCTACCAAGAGTGGTTCATTTTCGCCAGCCGACCTTTTCCAATTACATTCTTTACAATTATGCGACTTGTAGCTCATCTTTCTCTTAATTGTACGAAAAAGTTTTGGCATTTTTATGTCGTCAAGGTTCATTTTCACGCCTTTCTCAAATTTCATATGCTTATATTTGGTTAAAAGAAGGGATAATTGTGGGGTTATCATGATGAATAAAATCAACTTATTCAAAAAAAAAAAAAAAAATGATGACGTTATGTAAGGAAGTAAGGGATGAAAAGTTACTTATATAAGAAAAAAAAAAAAAAAAAGGAAAAAAAAAAGGATGAAAGTAAATTAAAAAAGAAAAATAATTTTTATATAAAAAAAATATATTATTGTATTACAAAGGACAATTGCACAAATTTTAATTTTATTTTTTTTTCTTTACGATATTTCATGAGTGTCGTGTAAATATCTTTTTTTTTTTTTAAAAAAAAGAAAAAATTCCCTTAGGAAGTGAGAGTATTTATTTGGGAAAGGAGTGAAGGTTTTAAACTAACAGTAATTAATTGATTTTTAATTTAAAATTTACAATATGAAATATGAAACAAATTTTTATGTAACAAATTATATTACAAAAATAAATTTGTTTAAAATTATAATAAATAACTCATCGGTTAATAATATAAAAACCAATTGATATTGCAGTATAAAAAAAAAAACCAGATTATCGTATATTTAATCCTAAAAAAAATTGAGGGATTTTTTATTTTTAACAAAAAAATAAATAAAATCTCCCACCTTTAACATTTCTTTGTTGAAAGAGACCAGTTCTATCAGATGCTGCGCATCAAAATTATAAATTTGATGTGACATGATTTGAATAATCACCATATTAGTCACACGACACGCTTATCATAGGAGAGATAGGAACATTTGCTTTTTTCGTGCAAAAACGATGTCGCATGCATACACATAACAGGTTTTTTATTTTCATCACCAACATTTATACCCTTGCTTCATTCTGGTTATTTCGTAAATATCCGTAACCCTGGCCAACCTTCTTTGGACCGGTTGTATCCGAATGTAAATACCGCATGTTAAATTATTTTTGGCGTAATGATTACAAATTGAAATTTGGTTGTTTGAATTTATTATAAAAGGAAACATTTGTTTAATTTCATCCATAGAACGGATGATAATATTCCGCCATCAAAAAAAAATAGCTACTATGCACAGTGTAAATGACATTTCCACACGACTGGATCTCCTTATCGGATAAAAAAAAGAAAGGTATCATTTTAGAAACACCAGTGGCCCCATTTTTGTTATCTATTTGAAGATGAAATGACGAACGCAAAAGGTAATTGTAGATGACAATTTAATGTTTTCTTCTTTTACAAAATGAATGGGCTTGGGTAATGATGATTGAATCGTTGACCAATCATACTTCAATTCAAATTACAAAGAACTCTTGGCAAAAATTTCAATTCGGAAAAAGGTAAAGATTTGTATAACAAACAATTGGTGAATCATAAATTCTATAACCTTCTTAGTAACGAATAAAGCCCAATCAGACGATAAATTGATTGTTCTTCTTGTTAGATAAGATAATGCAATGACAACTTGATTTTTAAGATGGAGGTACATATCTATCTACATGACAATACGACCTGACAAAAAAATTTTGACTCCAAAAGATCAAACAGAGATCATTATCATGTTCTTTCAAGTTTCACGTGATTCCCACCAACGATCCCGTTTGTAATTTTTACGGTGCCAAAAAGATTTTCTTTTGCCTTATCTTTTTACAAGGTTATAACGACGATCATATATAACTTTAATTTTTTTTTCGATTACAAATATTTTTAATTTTTGCCACGAATTACACAAAAAGAATAAAAAAATTTTTTTTTTGCCCGGGGAAAAAAATGGAGTGACGTTAACGATCGCAGTTATACCGCAGTTATACCGCAGTAATAAAAGTATAAATAGCATTTAAATGTTCTCTCTTACATAAGTGCATCATGCTACACCATAATTAGTATGTGGTGATTCAAAAAAGGTTCCATTGACGCACTCGGGCAGTAGTATTATCATCAATAAACTTTAATTTTTTTTTTAACCAAAAAAAAAAAATTTTTTCATTTTAACAAAAAAAAAAAAACTCTTCAATTTCCTGGTACATCATACGCACAAAAAAAAAAAAAAAATTAAACCATCATCACATTTTGAATTCGTCGCACCAAATTATCAAATTGAACCGAAAAAAATAAAGTGAAACAACCGACTTCACCAATGTCACGACAACAATTATTACCAGAATGTTTAGAGAATATTCTAATTAATCTTTCAGAAACAAAGGATTTATATTCTTGTTTAATGGTAAATAAGTTCTGGTGTACGGTGGTTGTCCCCTATCTATGGAGATACCCATTTAAAACGGCCGGAACATCCAAAGAACGATGTAATATGGTAACCAGAACCTATTTATCATGCGTTTCAGAAGATTCTAGAAAAAAATTGATAGATGCTGGGATTAATATGTCGGAATACCCTCGAAGGCCTTTGTTCGATTACGTTTCTTACTTACAAGGTTTAATCATCGATCAAAGGACATTTGACGTAATTCCATTAATTTTCCGACTAAAAAAGAACAATATCTCGTCACATGAAATACATCAAAAGCTTCAAGTGATGTCAGCTCATGAAGAATGGATTTTAAAATCACAAAAACATTTGGTTGAACAGGAATTAGCCAAAGTTTTATTGAGAGGTTGTACCAGATTACATTCTTTAGAAATTTATCAATGTGATTTCTTATCAAATTTAATCCCAAAGATTTTATCATTTTCACAGTATAATTCTTCTTCTACAGCGTCTTTATTATTTAAAAGTCCTTCACCTCCTTCAAATCCTTCTCCTCAAAAGTTATTTCATTCGTTAAGAGAAATTTCATGTGGTTCATTAAGTGATAATAAATCAACCTATGATTTTCTCATGATGATGTCAAATAATTGTAAATTAATTCATACCATTACGGTTCACGATATTAATTCTATGAGATTGGGAAAAGCTTTGGCTTCGGTTGTTTCCGCTCAAGATTGTTTAACATGTCTTGATCTAAATTATTCAAATTCTTATAATTTTTCAACATATGAACACATTTTTCAATCACTATACGACGATCAATATAATCAAATTCAATTACCTTCCCACTTACAAAATTTATTCCCATCATCCCAAAATTCATCAATCAAGAAGAAAATCTCATCAACTTCTCCTTCTTTAAGTCGACTTAAGCTTAGCAAAACGAATTTACATAACGTCAAAAAACATACTCTGGATCATATGATTAAAAAATGCGATAAATTACAATCACTTGAATTAGATCATTGTACCTCAATCAATTCTTTAACCCCTTTACAACATTCTTTAACTAAATTAAACAATTTAAAGGTTACTTGTTATGATCAAGATTTAGATTTCGTTACGGATTTCTTTCAGGCTTCAAATTTTAATTTAAGAAATATTTATTTAAGTTGGAAAACCAATTCCCCTCCTTTTAATCCAATTTCACTTTACGCACCTCCAACCATCTCCTCGTATAATTTAGAAGAGAGTTTCAAGAGAATTCGACTTTTAACGAATTATTGTACTCAAGTTAGAAATTTATATCTTGAAGTCATAACTCCTCAAGAATTACTTTTGATCTTTAGGTCCCTTATTCATGTACAAAAATTAAGTGTCACCTTCAATGAGCAGACAAATTGGGATGAATTGATGGATGAATTAGGTGAAAATATTCCCAAAGAATTACAATGGATTGAAATCAGAAACAGAAAGGAATTACCATTTAGCGTAAAAGGATTACAAACTTTTTTGGAGAGAGTTAAGGAAATAAATGGAGGTTTAGAGTTGTATTTTCGGAGTGCACAACAAGCTTATTTAGATGTGACTAAGAAATATGATTTCAAAATTATCAATTATGCCGGTGAATTAAATTGGTAGATTTATGATTATAGAAAAATGATGTGTGTGTATTACTTTATTTATCTTTATTTTATTTTTTAGAAGGGAAAAAAAAAACTCTAGAAACACTATGTATTTATTTTGTACAATATTATATATTATCATATTTTATTTATGTATTTTTAAGAATTCTTTAAGACAATTGATTCAAATATTGAGGCAAACTGTATTTCATCCATTTAAGACAAAAAAAAAAAAAAAAAATGAAGTTATGAAAGTTATAATAAAAAGATTATTATAAATTTCATTTTTTTTTTTTTTAAAAAAAAAAAAAAAAAAATAGAATATATGTAAATATAATTTTTCCTTATTGACATTTTTCATCATTATATCATTTTAGTTCATTCATTAAATCATCTTTTTTATAAAAAAGCACATGAAAGTCAAATTATTTTTAGAAAAAGAGAATCTAAATCATAAAACAGGTATTTTAATTGTTCATTAAGTTCACGATCTTGTGAAATAGGCATCAAAATCTACGCAAAATTTAATTTCAAAAGTAAAAATCAATATAAAAAGTTTTGTTCATATAATAAATATAGATTTAGTTTTTTTTTTTTATTTTTTTAATGTTGTTACATTTTTTCTTTATATTATTCGTCAAGTAAAAGTTTAGGAATAATGGATTATTATATAGATTTATAAACATTTTAAGGTCATCTTTATTCTTTTTCTTTTCTTACAAACGCGCGAATATTACTAAAATTTTTTTTAAAGATCATTAAAAATATATATATTTTTGTATACATATAAAATATCAAATAAATATTTATATATATATTATTATTATCAATAAAAGTTTTAAATTTTTCATTGTTTTTCAATGATGTATATTTCAAATTATTTCAGTCTAGAGATAATTCTCCATTCCTACTTATATCATCAAAGACAACCAACGCCTTTCTTAATCCTTCACTCGTCACTTTAGTCCTTTTGGCTAAAGCCAATCTTTTTAAAGTTTTTAATCTACTTGCATACTGCGTAATCAAAGAAAGGTATTCATCATCAATACACCCACTTCTCGGAAATTGTAAAATTTCTAATGGAGCTTTGCAATTTTCAAGTAACCAATGCACTACCATCAACCAAAACGTTCCTTCAAT